AGAAGTTAATGGAGTTTTCCTAATTTTATCTTCACATCATTTTGATAAAGCTAAACCTACACTGCCCACAAATTTTGAGGAGGATACATGGGCAAAGCTGCAGTCAGCTATCAAAGCTATATTCTTGAAGCAACCAGATTCTTGTGACTTGGAGAAGCTTTATCAGGTAGCTTCCATGGCATATTTTATGCTCCTGTTTCTAGAAACATTAAGTCTTTTTCTCTTATTGAAATCTGTCGTGCTACTGAAAAGTAATTACATTGTTGATAGGCTGTTAATGATCTCTGCTTGCACAAAATGGGGGGGAATCTTTATCAACGGATTGAAAAAGAGTGCGAGTCACACATATCTGCAGCACTGCAGTCTTTGGTTGGGCAAAGCCCAGATCTGGTGGTTTTCTTGACACTTGTTGAGAGATGCTGGCAAGATCTTTGCGACCAGATGTTGATGATTCGTGGTATAGCTTTGTATCTAGATAGAACTTATGTGAAACAAACCCCAAATGTACGTTCATTGTGGGATATGGGCTTGCAACTTTTCCGGAAACATCTTTCTTTGTCTCCTGAAGTTGAGCACAAAACTGTCACTGGCCTCTTAAGAATGATTGAGAGTGAAAGGTAATTCTAGAAATTCCTACAATGGTACTTATTCACACATTCTCTCTGTGATTGTCCTTTTAAAGTAACAACTTGAAAGTTAATCTTTCCATTAGAAGTTTTTTGTGGATGAATAGTAGTTCGTGAAACTTATACTGATATATGAATTGTCTTGGTTCTTTTTACCAGTGTTACTAACCTTAAAAATTTGATGGTTTTATGTTAATCACTTATATATATATGTAGGCTTATATGCTCTTTTCTTGAAATCCTTCGTTGTATGATGGCCTTGGTTAATATGCTAATTGAGTTTTCTTTCTTCTATATAACTAAACTTTGATGCTTGTCTGGTTATTTAACCAAGTCAGACGAGGTAGATAGTTTTACTTTTGCATGGATATGTTTATAGGTTATGTTTGGTTCAGCATATGTATTGCTCTGGACTGTTGTAAATTTGTTAAGATCTTGGACTTGTAGTACAGCTATTTGTATTAGTGCGTTTGCTCTTGCGGGCTTTACCTACTTTTAACTGGAGTATGATTTTTGGTTTGAGATCTTACAGTATAGCATTCTGTTTGGTTTTGGTCTGGCAGTTACCTACATTTTAGTTTAGCAGCTTTGGTATTTGCTAGGATGCTAACCTTTGGTTATTTTTGTGCTTGTGGTTCTATAAAAACAAATTTATTTGCTTGTGGTTTTTTATGCCTTCTTGTTATCATCCATACGAGGCAAGATCTTCACTTCATTCTTCATGTTTCAAGATGGTTAGATAATAGTAATTTGCAAGTGCAATTTGCAATTTCTAATTAAAGTTTTACCCATCCAATTCTGTCTTCCAGATTAGGTGAAGCAGTTGATAGGACTTTGCTTAACCATCTTTTGAAGATGTTTACTGCTTTAGGAATTTACTTGGAAACTTTTGAGAAGCAATTCCTTGAATGCACATCTGAGTTTTATGCTGCTGAAGGAATGAAATACATGCAACAATCAGATGTTCCAGATTATCTGAAACATGTGGAGGTGCTTATTGGTTTTCTCCTCTTAGTATAAGGATCATCAGCTGGACATTTTAGAGTTTAACATTTTTACTTGGCTTTTTACGGAGGAAATGCCATCTTGCGCATTACTGAAATAATTAAGATTAAATGTACTTATTATTACTAGTAAGATTTACGGTTCCAAATCGTGACAGATAAGGTTGCATGAAGAACATGAAAGGTGTGTACTCTACCTGGATGCAAGTACAAGAAAGCCACTAATAGCAACTGCAGAAAGGCAGCTCCTTGAACGTCATATACCAGCAATTCTTGATAAGGTGGTTATATGATGCTTTCTTCAGTTACTTTTTGCCCCTTTATGTATACTTACAATTTGCATAGCTTGAATTAAAATTGGCATTGGTATCTCTCAGGGCTTCACAATGCTGATGGATGGGCATCGTATTGAGGACCTTCAGAGGATGTACTCACTATTTTGTCGAGTCAATGCCCTTGAATCATTAAGGCAGGCCCTTAACTCCTACATTCGAAGAACTGGGCAGGCAATTATCATGGACGAAGAGAAAGATAAGGATATGGTATCGTCCTTGTTAGAATTTAAGGCTTCTCTTGATTCAATATGGGAAGAAAGCTTTTCCAAAAATGAAGCATTCTGCAACACAATAAAGGATGCATTTGAGCATCTAATTAATCTCCGCCAGGTCATTATGTTCTTCCTTTGGTTCTTTAATTATGATTTATATTTACTATTAAATCGCTTAGGCATCAGGAAATTTCTCTGTTTGAGTATTTCCATACTAGAAAATCTGTGACCTTACAACAATTAAGTTTTGTTGGAAATTAAAGATACTGTTATTTGACTGCCTTTGATGGAAAATGTTAATATTTTTTTCCTGAAAAATTTCATGAATTTGCTGTAACTGGGATGGCATCTTACTTTTCAATGTCATGTCAAAATGTGTAATGTTTATTACATTACATGAAAAAGGTAATGTACTTTTACTTATTTCCAAAACAAGGTAATTCACTTTTACTACCAAAAAAGCGGAAAAGAAGAAAAAACTTCGTATTTGTATGCTTATTCAAGTTGAATCATTTTGTATCCATAGTACTTATTGAAAAAAAGTTTACTGTTACGTTTCAAGGAAGTAGAAAACCAACAATTTCTTTGCCTGTACTCGGATTTCTGATAATAAATATATCCATAGGAAACTATTAGAATTTTTTTTTTGAAATACAAAGTGTAAGTGTGGTATTAATATGGGAGAAAAGCTATAAGAATTAGATCCCCATTCAAGAAACATGATTCATAAATCCTGTAAATCCTACTCCAACTTCTAGAAATAAATATTGATGCAAGCACTAATTTAGATACCTACTGTTATGCCTAAATAGGTTGTCAAAGGAACCATAATCCTTAACTAGATGACTTAGTACAATTGGAACCCTCTTCCCTTGTTTTCCTCAATCCCTTGATATGTTTTTTGATAAATTTGTCTTGTGTGTTTAAAATCTTGGTAGTTGTAACATTTCTCCCTCCCTTTAGATTGGGTTGTTTGCAAGGTCCAAGGTTGGATGGTCTAGCGAAATCAAATCAATATGTTAGCATGATGTGTCCACTTCTCTTGCCGTGATGGTCTACGGTGGACCCTCTTCTTTCTTTAAGGCCTTTAGAGGTTTTCGCCAAGGGGACCCTTTATCGCCCTTGCTTTTCCTTACGGTGATGGAAGCTTTTAGTAGATTTATGGAGAGGGCAAGCGAATTGAATGTGATTAAGTGGTTGTCGGTTGGGGTGGGAGAGTCCGCGGTGAAAGTATCCCATTTATTTTTTGCCGACGACGCTTTAATTTTTTGTGAGCCGGATCTTTACTCTGTTCTTCACTTGAGGTGTTTACTTATTTTTTTCCAAATGGTGTCGGGTTTGAGGATAAACTTGAGTAAAACTGAAATGATTAGAATTGGAGATAGGAGGGATGAAAGGGAATTGGCTAGTGTGTTGGGTTGCAAGATTACCGAGCTGCCTATTAAATATCTAGGACTCTTCTTAGGGTTGAAGTTTAAAGATACTAAAACTTGGGATCCCATTGTGGATGTGTTTGAAAAGAGAGTTACAGGGTGGAAGAACAATTTTCTTTCTTAGTGGGGAGACTCACAATAATCAAGAGCACTTTAACAAATTTACCAATCTACTACCTTTCTATCTTAATTATTCCGGCCAGTATTGCTACTAAACTAGAGAGGATACAATGCACATTTTTCTAGGGTGATGAGGAGGGGCATAGAAAATTTTCACTTAGTAAAGTGGGAGGAGGTGAAGAAACCGTTCTACATGGGAGGTTTGAAGGTGANNTTGACAGTAAGAATTTTATGATGCATATGCTGACAGTTGGACAATGGAACTGAAATTAATTCTGGAAGGATGAGTGGGCTGGTGACTTCAAATTGAAAGACAAGTTCCTGAGGATCTTTGAGATCGCTAGTGAGAGGGATATCCTTGTGGAGAAGTGTTCGAGAAGAGAGATGGGGGTGGGGGGGGGGGTGGGTGGGTGGTGTATTCAGGTTAGGAGAAATTTGAAGGAAGAAGAAGAGGATGAATACTGTAATCTGTTCCGTTGTCTTGCTGATTTTAAGGTGGGAAATCTGAAAGACAAAAGAATATGGAAATTAGACAAGAAAAGAGGCTTTTTTGTGAAGTCTTACTACAATTTTATTGTCAAAGATGGTGATGATAGTGTAAAGGCAGCACCATTTAAGCAAATCTGGAGGTCAAAAGTTCCACCTAGAATGGCTTTTTGCATTTGGGAAGCTATTAAAGAAAAAATATTGACCACTGATATGTTGAGAAGAAGTATGATGATGGTTAATAGGTGTTATATGTGCAAGGCCGATGAAGAATCTTGCAACCACTTGTTACTTCAATGCCCAATGGTGTATAGAATTTGGGCGTATGTGTATAGGATTATGGGGATGAATTGGGTCATGGCGGGTACTGTTAGTGAGGAGTTGTGGGCGTGGGTTGATTTATGTAAAAAGAAAAAAGAATTATATCTTATTCTGATTTTTATTATGTGGGTAGTTTAGAGGGAGAGAAACGCTAGGGTTTTTAAGGGTATTGAAACAAGCATTGTAAATATTAGGGATAGATGGTTTCATACTTTTGATTATATTTTGTTTGGTCATGACATTAGATTAGACAGATATTGGTAGCTGTCATGGACCACCTGATCGACTTATAATTTTGTGATTTAGGGTGGTTTCCCCTTGGTACCTTTGTGCATAATAATATTCTTTTTCTTTTATCTCGAAAAAAAGTCAAATTAGCAGTTTGGAAATAAAAAAAAACCTGGATATCATACATAGAATTTCTTAGACATTATATTTGAGAAGTCTTAAGCATCACAATTAAGGGTTTGAATGTATCATACAACAAGAAAATTGAGAAACCTTCAAAATATTATTATTGGATACTTGAATTAGGAATACTAATCCTAATACAAGTAGGAAATACCACTAAGAATAAAATTTTAAATTAGTAAAACTATAATAATACTTCTAAATAATATAATAATAAAATCTTAAATAATATAGTTGTTTTATATTTAAAATTAATTACAATTTCTAATTTATTTATGAAATCTAGTGTGAGCCTATTTTGCATAAGAGAGAGTGCATCCTAATGTATGAGAAGTTCCCAATATCTTACTTTTATCCGTTGTTCTAGAATAGCTTGCAACAAAAACCGTATTTTTCTGTCAAGCAATTGGAGGAAGAGAGGGCTATATAGGCTTCTCTCTGTAGACCTTTTTGAGGCATGATAGATGTAATAAAAAGTGAGGGCTGAAGTCATGTGGTAATTTTGATGTACAATAGATATGATCCTCGCCGGGGTATTTTTGTGTATCTTTATTTTTTTAAAAAAATAGATATGAACCTTTCAAGGATATTAAAGGGTCCATAAAATTTAGGAGATATATGGTATTATAGCTTTTAGTGAGGAATGCCATTTGGAAGCAAAAGAGTTGCTTCCAAAAGTTACTAGTGAACATGACGTCCCTATTACTAATAAAATTGGGGAAACCCATGTAATAAAGATAGAGTCAACAAAGTGATTGCGCTTGATGGATGCTAAAGGTTAGATGTTGAATAATTGGAGAAGGTGATTCTCAACCTCTTGCCTTTTCTTTTTTCCTTGTAATTCACAGAAGTGAGTTTGGGTTGTGAAGGTTGTTAGCTTGGGTGTTTGCTGTAATTCCACCTCTATTGCCATATAATTGTGCAAATAACTAAGAAATGTTTGTAACTCTTGGGTTAGTGAGCGAAGATGTATAGGCAGAAAGTTGGTCGAAGAACTGTTGACAATTTGCTATTGCATTGTCCTGTCATAACTGAACCAATTCGTCCAACTTATTACTATGGACTGGTGGGTTGAAGCATAAGTTATTGTCAATCTTTAGATTTTCCCAAGTCACATTTACCAGGTACCTTTTTAGTGCAAGGAAACCCAATCAGGCTTCGTCCTCCAGGTGAAAGGAAGCTCACCCACCTTATCCTCCTCGGTCATGCATTGATATAGCAAAAAGTGTTCATATATGTTGAGTTAGCCTAAAAGGTTCACAATGCTGCCTATTGAGGGACCTGAGTGCAGCGAACATGGGCATGGTCCTTCCTTGGTACTTGCATTGGTTTTAACAACCTTCTTATCTTGACACTTGGAGTAGCTCATGTCTTTGTTGCATCTGTGGCTACACCTTTACTGCACTCAGTTTTGCAATAAGCTTACTATTTGAATGTTCTTCTAGTTAGTCCGATCTTCTTGGTACTGCCTGTGGGACAATTCAAACTGTAATCGTTTACAATATTATCAACATGCACTATCAACAACACAAGACCTTGGCCACTTTTTTTTAACAAAAATAATGGATTGATTATATCTTTGCTTATATTCTTTAGTCTTTATTGTTTTCCCCAAACGCGATAGTAGAGTATGGACCTTGTATTCTTGTAATATCTATGTTTATTTTTTTTCTTCTCTTCTCACCTATAATTCTAGTTGTGGCGGTAAGACTTCCATTGCTGAAATTTAGAAGGTTAAATTCAATTATATGAATAACTTTTTTATTTGAAGTTTGTTTCAGACATGCATAACACTAATAATTTGTTATAAGTTTGCAATTTAAGGTGGTGTGGGCCTTAGATCTAGGTTTCTGATACTTCTACATTTAGGTGGGTTAGTCCCCCTTCCCTTGATTGTTTCCTTTCTATGTTCCTTAAGGTAGGCGGGCAAAGGAAGGAAGCTAGGATACTTTTGGGAGGAGCTATCTTTTTAGGGATATGGATGTTTTGCTTGGAGCCCAATACTAGACTCCTTAAGAATCATCTTTTCATCGGGCTTTTTTATGGGATAGAATTTTTTTTTTTCCTTCTCTATGGGTGAAGGGTTGTGGATTCTCTTTAGAGATGTCTTTTTGGCTGTTCCATGAGGGCTTGGGGATGCATTGATTGTTCAGGAGTTTCTTCCCTTTCTCCTTTTTTTTAAAGAGGGTTTCCTATCCTGTGGGATGCGCCTTTTTCTTCTACTCCTAATAATAATTCTCTTTATATTAAAAAAGAAGTAAGCAAATAGATGCAAGTTTAGCTACTGGAGTCATCAAATTAACTTTGACCATGCACACCCATTTACAACCTATAACTTTCTTACTTGCGAGCACGTGCATTAATTCCCAAGTACGATTATATATTAAAGCCAACATCTACTCCTCCATAACAACTTACCAACTTAGATGGATAGCGGTTTCATATAAGGTTTAAGGAACGCTAGGATTGCCAGACAAAGGAATAAT